TTCCCTGGGACCAACCCTCAGGGACTGAGAAACCTGCAGGCATCAGGCCATTTTCCACTAGGCTATAGTGATCACAGTCTCACAAGGGTTTCAGGCAGCCTTGCTTCCTAAAAACTGACTAAAAATTATGCTTGTTTTTGTTTTTGTCATATATGTTATTGTGTATAACTTTAAATTGAAGACATTTTGTATGATATGCACATAGATTGCAAACTGTTTAGGGAGTAGTGTGGATTGTCACACATTGTAATACTGACCTACTTTCTTTGAAGAAAACAGTTCAGTTCTATTAACAAAATTTTTTATATAATATAGTTTGTCATTTTAAACCATCCTGCCTCTTGGGAAAGACATGGTGCCACACACATTTAATCCTAGCACTTGGCAGGCAGAGGAATGTAGATCTTTGTGACACTGAGGCCAGTGTGTCTACATAGAGAATTCCAGACCTATTAGGGTTACAGGTAGATCCATTCTTGAAAAGAAACAAAATCTACTCTCCCTCACCCCATAGTAATCATTTGCCAATAATAGTTCCTCAGCTAGGGCTGAGTCCTAATGCCTATCTCTCCAGTTCTATGATTGTTTTTTTGCTGATTGAGTTGACCTGGGCCTTGTGCTTGCTGTCACCATTGTTATAAGTTCATGAGCAAGTTCCCAGAGGCCTGAAAGCCTCTCTTTCCTCATGTTCATGCATCAACCCTGACTTTTAAGATCTATCCACCCCCTCTCCCAAATGGTCCCTGAGCCATGGGTGGGTGAGGTTTAGTATAGGAGTCCTATGCAGGGACACAGACCTTGTAGTCTCTTATTTTCTAAAACTTAGTCAGCTGTGACCTTCTGTGTGTATCACGCTCTGCTGTATTTAATAAAGTTTCATGGTCTAGAGTTGAGGGATGTGTTAGTATTCACTCTACCCCCTGTTCCACTATGTTCTATGAGCCTTAGGTGTAGAGGTTCCAGTATAGATATGTCACTGTGGGGTGAGGAAGAGTAGATGATCTTTAAGGGAGCGATTCTAGATGAACTGACTAGACTCCAGTGGATGAACTTGCACCAAGGGACACCATGATAGAAATACCAGACCAGGTTAGACTTAACAGAATGCTTGAAATTAGTGGGGGGTGGCTATAGGAGGGGGGTTCTAAATTTGGTTAAGATATATTCTTATGAAATGCACAAAAACTCAATTTAGAAAATGGTAGAGAAAAAGAAAATAAATGGCATTATTGGGAAGCCAAATGACTTTCTTTTAAGTTTTTGTACATCTCATACAATAAATCGTAGTCAAATATAGACCCCTTCCCCCATCCGCAGCCCCATAGACCCCACCACCCCAACCAGATTTTATGTAGTCTGAAATACATGTTAAAGGCTATTGGGTCAAGCTTTTGTACAGAGATGTCACTGTGCAAGTTCAACCACTTTAACTTAGCCTCACTTAAAGATCATCTCTCTGTCACTCAGTAGTAATCAGTTGCCAATAGTCCCTGAGGTATGATTGGAGCCTGTTGCCCATTTCGCCAGTTCTGAGCTTTTGTCTGAGTCAGCGTGGGTCTTGTGCATGCTGTCACCATTGTTGTAAGTTCATAACAGCAAGGTCCCAGAGGCCCAACAGCCTCTGTTTCCTTATGCTCATGAACTAACCCTGGCTCTTACCATCTTTCTTCTGTCTGCCCACTCTTTTGCAATGGTCCCTGAGCCATGAGTGAGTGAGGTTTACTATAGGGGAAAATGGGGTATCTAAACTGGGGAGGGAAAAGGGAGTTTAGACAGGGAGAGGAGCAG